TTCGTTTTGATAAAAATATATATTCCACGGTTAATACACACCTAACGCAAATTCGAAAGTAATTCTAAAAATTGTCCGGATTCTGCGCTCGCTGCGAGATGGCGAGAGCAGAGCTTGCAGAGAGCAAAGTTACTTCGTCGATAAGTTCCTCGTTACGTGAACGGTTCATACACATGTTCGTCCATATTTGCTATTATAGAGGGTGTCGTATCGTTATACGTTCGTTGATTACGAGTCGAAATTTCGTCTCAATCATTAATCCTGCAAATTCCGTCGAACTTGAAGAATCAATGAAAAATTTCGAAATATTATTAATATAATAACATTTTATAAGCTATTATCCTATCTTTGGTATGTGTGTCATAAACGGTCAATGGTGTGTATTGTCTTCAGGCGCTTGAAAGATTTTTATTTCAGAATCATTTAATAATCGATTACACGATATTCTACCTTCATTTAATCTTTTTTTAATTTCGATAAGCAATGTTTGCATATATATTAATCATATTAATATTCATTATTTAAATTATTGATAGAATATGTGCGATGTAAACAATTATTAAATAATTGAATAATTAAATAAATATTAATACCTAAATGGAAAATAAAGCAATTTTCTTTTTTGTCATTTTTTCCTCATTAATCTCCTTTTTCCTTTTTTGTTAGCGTAAAAAATTTCAGTAGATGTGAAGATTCGAAAAGGAGTGGGAGGGAAGAAGATTTAAAAACAAAGATAGCAATTATGTGACCACGCAATAGCGCTGTATTATAAATTTCAATTTAGATTCGCTACAATAACAAACAGTAGTGAAAAGGTATTGGCAGATATCAACAAGTTACTGCCCAAAAAAACATTAAAGGCACAACAATCGAAAGCCGATATTCATAGTCCTTATTATTTACCATTTTTGATCGAAAGCATAATTAATTGCAAATTAAATTAATTATAATTCGTAAATTATAAATTCGTATTTATACACCGTCATTCGACGGTTTAGATGAATATTTCTTGTTGTATGAAATAAATAAAAGTCGAACAGTGAAAAATTCATGAGGCTATAATTATTGGTGAAACGATGGCGAACTCTGAATACTCGGCTTGAAATTTCGGCTCCGAATAACTTAACGCACAAAGGGCTTTTACTCCAGTTAAATTTAAGCGACTTACAGTGCGTTGAGCGTGAGGGAACGCCGAGAAGAAGAGGAGTAACTCGAGCGAGAAGCTCGCCTGTAAATTTCAACTGACAGGATCCTGGAACACGGTCATGCAGGATGAATGTGCGAGAACGTTTGAATCCGTTACCGTGCGGTATTCCCCCCTCTTACGTAAATCTCACGTTACGTATTCGTCGACACGCGTCGTGCTCGCGTACGCACCGCTAAATCGCGTGTTCGACGCTCGAGATGAATGCGCAACGTCGTTCCACCCTCGCTCCCTGTCC